GGGGGGAGGGAGGGTGCAAAGTGCATTCGGGCCTCGCATCGTGCGGATCCGTTGAATAGAGATGGGCCGCTTCGGGGAAACGCGCGAGACGAGGTGCAGTGAAGTCGTTCGGTATATCGCTCCCATAAATATTCCGAGCCTTCGGACCACGGTGAGGCGTGTGAGAGACAAAGAGGGATAGAAGGGAAGAGAGAGAAAGAGAGAGAGGGATATGTCGAGCAAGCGAGGCAGGGCAGGGGAGGGAAAAAAAAAGCAGTAGACGATTTCATATACGGCGGTCGTGGGTGTCGCGGGGCTGGAGGAAGAGAAAGGGACGCAGAGGGAGGAGGGGGGGACCTTGGCTTCCAGGCTATAACTGGAACACGCCCGGCCGATACACGCCCACGACGTTTCCGTGAATTCTGCGAGATATTGAACTCGTTGAAAGATTTCTTTCCTGGAAATCACGAATTCCCCATTTTTCAACGGTCGATGACCACACATGCACGCGCGCGCGAGAGAGAGAGAGGGGGGTGGCGATCGCGCGGCAAAACAACGCGCGCGCGTGATAACGCGCATTTTATACCCGAACTCTCCTCTGCGCTCTATGTCGAGCCTGTTGTTAATCGATCTGCGGAACTCAAGCCGTAATAATCGGCGGACGACTTCGAGTGAAACGACGTTCTTCAATTTTCTTTCTTCACCAGTATCTCTGTCGTTCCTCCCTCCCTTTCTCGCACACATACACACACACGTATACGCACGCGTGCGCTGCGTCCTGGAGATGGCTTTCGGAGAGGTCTTATCGTCTTAAAGGGAGTTCTTAAGAGGTCTAGTCTACAACAGGTGCTTTAAGCGCTAAGTCTTAAGAAATTAACAAATCACAATCGAATTATAGAAGAATAATTGACTGTAATTGGTCAATTTCTTGCGGCTTGGATTCCCATCGTAGGCCCCGCTTTAATGTTCCCCAAGGCACTTTCCACGTTGCCGTGCATCGCTATGTATAGTTAATCTCGACTGTCATAGCAACCTTCGGCGTCGTGACGCGTGAGTCCTAGTCTATAATAGGTGCTTTAAGCCCCAAGTCTTAAGAAATTGACCAATCAAAATCGAATTATAGAAGATTAATCAATTGGTATTGGTCAATTTCTTAAGGCTTAAGGATTAAAACTCGATTGTAGACCTGGCCTAAAACGGGGTCTACAATGAGAATTTAAGTTTTAAGGTTTGAAACTTAAAGTACTTATCGCAGACCGGAATTTAGGGCCTTAGCAGAGGGGTTGATTTGTAATTTTAAAATAATATTTCGTGTCCTTGTATCTTTGTCTAACTTATCATTTTTATTTTTTTTATTGCACACTATTTAATTATCAATCACAAACAGAACGGCTTTTTAACTTGAAACTCCAGACACAAGACAGTCATTGTGTGTCATTTAAGACAAAGACTTCTGATATAAAACATTGTTTTGAACCGATAAGTTAGTCATTATGCGCAGGTCCTTACTTATGATCAAGCGATTTCCACTCGATCAATTTACATCGACTCTCTCTCTCTCTCTCTCTCTCTCTCTCTCTCTCTCTCTCTCCATGCATTGGAGTTTTCCACGCTCGTCGCGTTGCAATTCCGCCTGGGACGGAAAAAAATGTTAAACTTTCTCCGGCGCTTTCACTTCATCCTCGCGATTAGCGGCGGCGAGACCGCGCGTTTTAGTAGTCCGAGAACACAAACATATATATATATTCGCCGCGCTACCGCTCGCTATTTTTAGGCTCTAGTCAATATTTACTCGCTCGATAGTTACGATAGCCCCGCGCGATAGTTTACAATACTATATACTCGCCGAGAGCCGGTAGATCCGCCCACGTGTGCTTCGCCCCTGTAATCCCACGTGGAGGAGGATTGGGGTGGGGAAGGGTGTTGAGGGGAAGAGAGGAAGGGTAGGTAGGCGGGAAGGAAAGAGGGAGCGACCGATCCCGTCTCGCAGCGCCTGAAAATAAATACTTGCTTCACTCTTTCGTAGAAATCCTAATGCATCGAGAGAAAGGCGAGCGGGACTCCATCATCCTACTCTCGTCTCCTGCTCGTTGGCGTTCTCTCGTTGGCGATCCCCAAGCTTCTCCCGTAGATAATAACGGACTCCGGACGCGCGCGTCGAATCACCTTGTATCTCAGATCGACGGAACATCATCTCGGTGGATCCTCAAAGTGGGGAGTATCTTCGTCGAAGATTGACTTCGCATTAAACTGCCCCCCTCGGTATCTCGGTATGTACGATCGCTCGAAGCGACTTTGTCGACGTCTGCGAAGCGAAGTCCTTCGTCGGGATCGTCGGGAAAAAGAATTCCGATTTCTGCTTTTGTCCGTCTTGCTAAGTGGAGTTGTTATCAACACGGGAAATCTCGAAGTCACCCTCGAGTCTTAAAATTTTTCCGAGAACAATCTCCAATCCTACATCCTGACAGTGACATATTAGACCTAAGGGGCCTACACGCGTTTCCTTTCGCTCACCGGCTCCTCCCATGTTTTGTGCAAGACGCTATAATCGCCGTGCTCTCTTATTCTTCTGTTACTCAAAAAAGAAAACAATTGGGTCCATGTGACCAGTACTATTATCAGTCTACAAAGATAAATAAAAATTGGTAATAAAATTGATAATTTATGAAAGATCAAAAAAAGCAAAAAACCACTACAATTGTTTCTTCACAACAACAGGATAATATTTTATATAAATTTGTTGTTTATATGTATATTAAACAACATTCAAGTCAAACACGTATACTAAATCCAAGAGACCTTTTTCTTTAGTGTACCCTTCCGAGAACGATGCATTTCTTATAAGTGCATCGATAATCTTTACCGAAAAAATTCGAAAACCTGGCCGATGCTTTACAAAAGATCTTTAAGTAAACTTTTCCTATTATTCGGTCACAATCGTCTTTCATTCCATTGCTCCTTTGTTATCCATTCATCACAATTTCCCAACAATTTTTCTTTACAATTTCGTCCCTGGTGTATTCAGCTCAAGTTCATCGAAATCTTCCTTCTACGAATCTAACATCTGCTTTGTTAACATCTGCCACGGGGTTTACCTGTGGGACCTGCGTTCCGAATAATCCATGGAAATTAACGCGCGATGGCCGATACGTGGAAATCGTTATTTCCGTACTCTTACCGTGAACGAATCGTGAAATCGACACACAGTGAAATTCGAAAGCGCATGTACCTGCAATTAACTCTCGCTAAATGGTGTCCGAGTGACCCAGGTACCGTCGTCCGTACGATTGCTGGAATCTCTAAAGTCAACAGAAAACATCCGTGCACATGTTTGCGACACGCATCGGTCAGTTCGACCATCGTTATCATCGCTGTCGTCTCGCCGTACTTTTCCAGACCTCACCGTCGAGCGAAGCTCAAGTTCGCATAAGTGCGAGGTAAATTGCGTTTTCACATTATGGAAATGCCACGTGGCGCGCGAAGGGCGAGCAACCGGACAACAGTCTACTGCACAAGAAAGGCGAGGAAAAGAAAGGGGGTGGGGAAAGAGGGACGGAGAAGGGTGGAAAAAAAATTAAGCGGGAGGGAGAGTGAGGTTGCGGCAAATGTGTGCCTTTCTTTTCTTCATTTTTATTTTTGCCTATTTTTTTTCTACGTAGTCTCGGATCCCTTTTTTTCTACTCGTCGGACTTAATAATCCGTTCCGCGAAACGAGTTTCTAAGTAAATTACAAGTCCCGGTTCTGTCCTCTTCTACCCGCGTGCTTCCCCCATATCTTCCACAGGTGGTTCGATCGCATTCGCGAGTGCCGTGCAAAACGAGCCTCTTAACAAAAGAGCCACGTCTCGCTCGGCCGCGCGATATTATTTCAATCGAGCCGTCCGGCTTTATCCGAAAACAGAGACGGGCGATTTCTCTCTCTCTCTCTCTCTCTCTCTTGCAATTTGGAATAGTGCGATGTTCGCGGAAACACGGACGTTTATACACATTAAGTCATAGACAGATATAACACGAAGCGAATGCAGATGAACTGGACATATATTGGAGATAAGTCGGAGAATTCAATAGACGATTAAATAAAATTAAATCGCAAATAACATTTTTTTTTTTTTTTATCGACCGCGTTCGATAAGAGGAAGAGCGATTGGCATATCTATTTAAAGAAATATTTCGCTGTAAAAATTCGGCATATTTGCTGAGATATCGAAGCAAGAAACGATTTTAACGCGTTTGACGCAGATAAGTCGGATTTAATCGCGATCTCTTCTCGCGGCGTTCGAGGTCTTTCGGAAATGAACTCTTCGGTCAGGGTTAACCGTCGTGCATGCGTCGGGAACTCGAGGAGTCGCCAAGTCCCGTGGTGAAACGTGTTCTCTCCCGGTTGAAATGAATTTCGCTGTTGATAGCGGGCGATAACGCGTTCTCTTCGCGCGCACGTTGCATCTCGTGCCTTTCTTTTCTCTCTCTCTCTTTTTTTTTATCGTCGTACCGAACGCGAGTGCATACTCGCAATTAGGGAGAGTATTTATAGAGCAATATTACGATTAGGTACATGGAATTTCTCAGAAATGCTAATGGCCGAGGAACGCTCGTGCGACATAAATCTATACGTTCGGCCTGGGAAACGAAGTCGAGAGAAAAGGACATCGTTCCTCGCGCGCGCATGCGTTCGAGGAAGGCTCTCCGTCCTGTCGGTGAACGTGACAATTGTCACGAATACTGAAAGTTTCGGCCGTTGCGAAGAACAAAGGAACTTCGACGGGCCTTTTTTCGGAAAGCGTGTTCTTACCTTTTGCAACGCGCATTGATTCGACGCTCGTGAATTCGGCGAAAAACAGAATTCTTCCTTCGTCTTCGCTTTCTTTCGAGTTTATCCGCGAAGCGCGTTTCTCCCTCCCCCCTTTCTCTCTCTTTCTCTCCAGGAGTACGACCGGATTTCCTGGAAGCTCTTACGCCCTCTGAACAATGGTGGGCGACCGGTTCCGTTATATTAGGGAGACAATGCGTTCCATTGTGCCCCCACCCCTCCCCCTACATTTAAGTTGCACGAGGGAGACTAATTTCGTGGAAGCTCGTCGGGCTTTGCGGAAATCAACCGTTCCGATGATCGCGCGTAGATCCGAACGTTCGTCATTCCCCCTCCTTCCCTTCTCCTCGTCATCCCTCGCCAAATTCGAGCACAGGGTGTCGTTAGTCTCGCGTCTAGCGTACGTAGCACTCGGCCATCTATATGCGCGGCGGTTCCAAGTGAGCGCCGTTCCGAGCTGATATTTTCGGAAGAAAACAGCGCTTTTATCACGCGCGCGCGCGCGACAGAAATATCACGCGGGCGACCCGACCCACGATTAAAAGGAGACGATCGTCGCACTCCGGAGATGTTCGTCACTGAAAACGACTATCGAGTCTCTCTATTTGTATATGCGTGTGTGCTCGCATATGTGGTTATCGCAGCCAAAAATACACATTTCTACGCGCGGTCTTTGTGTTCGCGACAATACACGATTAAGGTTGCCTCACACGTGGCACCGTCGCGTCTCCGCAAGAACAACGCGCGAAGCTTACGCAGAAAATGAACTATTGAGCCCGCGTGACCTGAATTTCAACGACACATCAGCCGGCGAATTCGGAGTTTATCGGGCGCGAAATGCGCGCGAAAGAGCTCTTCGATGGATTTCTCGAGTCGCAATTGTTCGATGAGTAATTGGCCGGCGGATCGCGAACTGATTTGCGAAACGAGTTTTTCTCCTCCTCTTTTCAACGAAAGTTGAGGTTGCGAACATGACTGTTCGACTGTTGCGACATTTACGCGCGGGGATGAATCGACCGCGAACAGTCGAAGGCAAGGAGCGCCTGTCGACGAAGTTACACGCGCGTGCACGTATCGCGGCAAATTAACCCACTTTCCGATAAGCGGCCGGCCAATTTTCCGTCGCGCAGGCCGGCAATTACTTCTAATTGAGAAACACCTTATACATACATCCGGAGAGTGGGCGCACGCGTGAGCGTTTCGGCCCGCGCCTCCGGTCGGTGGGGGCATAGGACAGAACACATTGTATTTCAGTGCTCGTGAGTCACGACCAGGTGTTCACGATCTCTCCGTGGCCTTATCCTCGCCTCGTGCACGTCATCATCGGGAAGGAACGCTCGACTCGAGCGGAGTCGATCGAGGATACGAGGATACGAGACGCTTGACCTCAAGAAGCGCGCATTCCCTTCTCGGAGAGCACGTAGAAAAATCTTCCGTTTGCCGGAGGAACGCTTAAAGACGCGTTCACACCGAATCGTGCTCATTTTTGAAATTGCTAATCGTATTGATCGAGCTGCGAGACGTCTCTCGACTTGTTCTTTTTTTCTTCGTATTTTTAGAACGATCGAGGATACGAATGTTAATTTATTTGTTTATTTATTTCTTAATCCTAACTAGCCACTTATTTTCGAATCTTTGACTCGCCATATTCCGATCCGTGAGATTGTTCGATTTCGTCTCCTTGTCTCATTTTTATTTTAATTAATATTTTTAAATTTGTTACGTAGGAATTAGAAATATAGGATCGGAATAAGATTTTTTGCAGATTAAACTTGCTAATTTTGCGACAGAATGTTACGTGATCTTCTTATATTCGATCCGTTTATAATGCAGAATTATTCACATATTTTGTAATTAATGCGAGTGCTTCGCCAAGTTCTTTAAAATATTGCCCGATTTTCTATATAGAACTCAGGATGAAATTAATGAAACAATTATCGAAGCGCAACTTTGCGATCTTATTAATATTCCTGCATTAATAATAACGATCGTGCGTCAGGATGTCTCGAAAGGAGTCTTCTTGACTTTTCGCGTTACCGAAGTACAAACAATCGAGTCTCCGACGATCGTTTAGCACGAAATGCTTTTCTTTTCACAATAACGTAGCAACAAGCGTCAGTACTCGACGGTCTTTCCGCAGATCATCTTTCCGCAAAGCGGTGCGCTCGTCGATTCCGCACTCCCCCGATATCTTCCTCGACTCGAAAGCGAAGGCTTAAACAGGCTCGTGGTCTCGTGTTTCCTTCTCGAAGAGAGGAACGTCGTCCGGCTGGGCAACAGTTGAAAGAGGAACGAACGGATAGGCATTCGGCCGGCCGAAAGGAGAAGGGTATAGACAGATGGTAACCGAGATCCTGCGGATGTAGCCCGCGGGCACCTGGACTTGTAAACCCGGAGAAAAAGAAGACGCGGAAACGGGGGATTTCGAGAACGCAAGCTGTTCGCAGTGCCAGGTCGCACCGG